CGCGGCTCTTGCATGGACGACGATAAATAAGTTCAATACGAGCGAGGGCTTCTGGTTACTGCTCAGTTCCCCGGTCGACCAGGGAAATCCCGTGTAACTGGTGTTATAGAGCACTGCCCTCCCGCACGGGCCGCGGGGGGGCCTCCAGGTAGAGCGCGCTGCCCGGCGACTTGGCCGGCCAGGCGGGCAGGCCCGCGCCGTTCGGGTCGCCGTGCCGCGCGAAGTTGCCCAGGTACGCGCGGGGGGGGGGGGCGGTTTGCGGCGGCGGCGCTGGGCTCCTACTCCTCCTGCTGCTCCTCCTGTTCCTCCCTCCCCTCCTGCTCCTCCTGTTCCTCCCTCCTGTTCCTCCTGTTCCTCCTCCTGCTCCTCCTCCGCCGTCCTTCCCGCTTGCCTCCCTCCTTCTTCTCCTCCTTCTTCCCCTCCTTCTTCTCCTCTCTCTCCCCCTCTCCCTCCATACGGCCCCGCTGCACTCGAGTGGGTCCACCCCCCCCTTACGCAAGGGGATCCCCCAGCATGGGGTTGAGGTCCTAGGTTCCGCGTCAGCCACCACCTGGGCCAGATCCCTGCTCCTCCCCCTCCTCCTCCTCCTTCTCCTCCTCCCTTCCCCCTGTTCGTCCTCTTCCTTCGCATTAGGGGGATTGGGGGGTGTGCAAGACTAGCACGCCAATGGCAACATGGCCCTCGACCACCTGGTGCTCTTAATGGTTTTTCTCCTCCTCTTTCCTGCTCCACCCCCATTCCTCGAGCCTCCTCCTCCTCCTCCTCCTCCTCCTCCACCGAGAACATGGATAAACTTGCGCAGAAGGTTGTGCTGGAAACGGCGGAAAGGGTTAGGGGAGGGAGTATTGCGAGCAAGCAGGCAACTTGATGATCAGCTGTGTCAGGTAGGAGGGGCACAGAACCATGAGAACCTACTCATTGTGCATAAGTTCGTAGGCGAGGGAACGGACAAAGAATCAAGAGACCTGTCTGGGAGCCGGCACTACACTTCTGGGACGGTTGCGACGATGACGACCCATCTGGGGTCCAATACAATCAGCAGACAAGGTCACTAAACAAAGGGGGCTGCTATCCAACATATGAAGGCGGCTTGGTTCTTTATATGGAAAGGTTCTGGTTCGTTTCGGATGTCCCTAAGAAACTGTACTTGTTGGTCTTCCGTGCTCGCGTGCAGTCTGAAGGACTTCTGTGGTCGAGGCTTACTGCGTTAGCGAGAAGGGGTCTGAACTTATCGATTCCTCCCTGCTCAAATGGGACAGGCAAGTTATGCATGGGGAGGGTACGTTGAAGAGCTTCAGGGCGAATGGAACCACCAAGCATACGAATCGTCCTTCTTGTGACATTAGTTGAGCACAAAAAATGGTCCCGACATTTTCGGAACTTCGGATACGACGACTGGAATGGTGACAGTCGGTGGCTAGCAATCCACAGGTGCATAGACAACTGCTGACAAGGTATTTTGGTTGTTTTGACTTTTAAGAACATCGGACAATGGCTACCTTCCAACTGGCCCTTTCGACCAGGGCAACTACAACGGTAATCCCTGGGCTGCCCAGGTGGCAACATATGTCGAGTCGATGGGAGAAGTCCCAAGAGGTAGAGAGATTCTTCGGGATGTAAATGGGCAAATCCTTAAGGTTCGCACTCTGGATTTTGCCGTTAAGTTCGGGCAGCTCGATATTGCGAAACTCAGAAGGGTCTATTGGAAGCATGGCCCTGCTCAGGAACCTTCCCCACCCATCCCGCCTTCCCCACAATCACCTGATGTGCAAATGTGGGTGTGCCGTGAAGAGAACGCTGAGGGTAGTATCTGCGGGTTGGATTTCCACGACCAGCGGGGATGACATGCGCATGTGCGATTTATGGAGGGAGGTTCACATGGGCACAAGACTTGATGCCAAATCCAGACGGTTACGAACCAATGTCCGGGGTGTGTGACAACCTTCAATCATCGAGCGGTGGCCGGTCAACACGTCCGACCCTTTTTTTGAAGTATACCCTTCTGATCGACATCACTTCGCGCACGGTATGGAGGACCCACTCTGCTACATATGCATGCTCCGCGTGTGGAGAGGACACCCTGAACCTTTTGGCATCACAAGTGCATGTTCTCTCTTATATCGACCTGGCTCCTGAAGCGTACATCAATTCCCCCCAGGCTGAAGAACAGCATGGCTGCGTGGGCGATTCCTCAGTTGGCGGTTCCAAGCAGAATTCATCCTTCGGTAGGAAAGGATGTTGCATGGAGAGCAGGGATAACCAGTACAGGAAGGTGGCGGTAGGCGGGGAGGCGACGGACCAGGACGAGGACAGCGATTACGATACAGCCAACGAGGTGATGAAACCATCGGACAACCACGCACAGAGAAGTCGAGGGTTGGAGGTGGCCCTACTTTCAACGCATCTTCTTCGACGGGAGTGCCCCCTCAGTGCAGCAGCAGTAGCAGCAGGGCACCAGTACAACAAAGCATTGGGGAAGAAGGACTACGAGAAGGGGCCTCCGTCCCTCACAGTAGGAAGAGCGGTCCCCGAGGCAGTTGTGAACATACCAGCTTTCAACAGAGACGCGGAGGCCAAACCCTCCATGGATTTCGCGAAAGAGTGCGTGCAGCGTGTCAAGAGGGAGCCTGGAGCGATAGTGCGCGAATGCGTCAACTACTATCGCGTGAAGTCCGCGCACCAGCAGGAGGGCAGCACCCGCTCGTGAGACACCCATTTCTGATCAACGGTGGGATGATGCAGCCAATGAGCGCGATACTGACCCGCCTGTACCTGTCGATGGGCAGCGTGCCGAAGCCAGGCCCTCCCCCGCGCAACACGGCGGAGAGGCGCGCCCAGAACTCTGGCAAGAGCATGCTGCGCGGCAGGACGGCGAAGTGAGCCGTGAGCAGTGCCACCGCCCCCAGGCCCAGGATGAGTGCGAGCGAAAGACACGAAGTACGATTTCGAGGCACGTGGGCCCCGCCAGACAGCCCGAACGCTCCGAGGAAGCGATGTAGGCAAGGGTCTGGGCGGGGATGGAGCTGTAGCGAGCCGTTTTTTCCATCTGCTAGTTTACGGGAGCGCACTAGAGTGTAGGCGCTAGCTCCACACCCTCGCTGCTTTCTGCGTTGCTGTCTCCCTCTGTCCACGTCGTCGTTCATCCTCCCCTGTTCTCCTGTGTTTCCTCGCTCCATGGCTTTTTTCACCCCCCTCGCGGGTTTCCACGCCTCTTTCCCCTTCTTCAATTGTCCCAACTTGTCCTCGGGGGATGTGTTGGCACATATCCCTGCTGTCTCTCCCTGTCTGATCCGCAACTGGCGGAAGTGTCCGGGGAGACCCGTTCCGGACACTTCGCCAGAGCACTCCGATCCAACGAGCCCTGGTGTCCCCGTTTGGGCTTAGTAAGGGCCCCCCCCCCCAGATGTTTGACAACGCGTGGGGCATAGGACCCTCTTGGCGCACGCCGATCTGTCTCACTGCAAGCTGCAGCAGAACTGGGATAAGGTGGCGATCGCCGACCGACCGACCGACCGACCTCCTCCTTCTCCTCCTCCCTCATTCGCTCACTCATTTACTCCCGCCTCCCGCCTCCTCCTCCTCACCCCTCCTGCTCCTTCGCCTCCCTCACCTTCCCTCCTCCCCCTCCTCTCTCCCTCCCCCTTCCCCTCCTCCTCCATCCCTTTCCTGTCGCACCCCCAGACGTGTCGGTAGGGCGGGCCCGGCGTCTCGCCTGAGACGTAGCAGTCTGCACCAGTTTCACGGATGCAGGGGGGGTGGTTTTTAGAACGTGGCTCTCGCCTTCGCGCCGCGCTGATTCATGATATAATGTCGCAACATTTTCAAAGCTGGATGGCATTTTTTTTCTTATGTGGCTTTTGCCTTTGCGCTGCGCGCATCCGTCTTCATCGCTTGCAGCAGCTTCGGAGCTGGAGGGCGGGCCCTTTTCGAAATGCGGCCCTTGCCTTTGCGCCGCGCACATTCGTCTTCATCGTCCGCAGCATCTTCGAAGATGGAGGGCGGGCCATTTTTGAACTGTGGGACTCGCCTTGGCGCCGCGCGCACATGTTTTCCCCCAGTTTCAAACGCTCGTATGGTTGAAGTCCAAAGAACGGCGCTATGGCGATTTAGCGCTGTCAGGACGCAACAGTCATGTTGAATCGTGGTGTTCGAATCCCGGGGATTGTGTTCTGGCACGATGATTTAGGATTGCCTGGGCGCAGGACCCACGTTGATCCGCTACGCCAAAATTCCAAGAATGATGTTTTGGCACGATGGAAGATTCTCAAACAGTTTTCTAATGAGCTACTTCCCGCAATGGACATACATGAAGGGGCCCAGGGCCACACGAACAAAGAGACACACATCCCAGGACTCTCCATATTTTTCAATATTTTCTGGAGCTTCGTCTCCCCCTCCACTTGTTATAGTTTCCACCCTCCCAGCTCGTTGTTCGAGCCACGTCTCGCCGTGGCGACGAGGAGGGCCTCCGAGGGCCCATCCAAGGGAGGAAGAGGAGAGAGGTCGGGGTGAGGCGGGACAAGCGCCGCCGCCACAGCCGCTGGCCCTCCCCCCGGGGGGGATGCGGACATGGAGGGGCCCTTCCGCCACGCACCGCGGTCGCTGCCGTGGGGGCTGCGGCCGGCGGCGGCGGCGAAGACGTAGACGAAGACGGGGGGAGGCGACGGGGCCCGTACCAGCAGCTCGGCCATGTGCCAAGTGGCCGCGAAGTACCAGACGTCCCGGCCGAAGCGATCCAGGGCCTCCGCGACGGCCGCGGCCTCCTCGCCGCGGGAGCGCGGGCGGCCATCCGTCGCGGCCGGGAGGTAGTGCGACAGGGCCTCGTCCCTCGCGCTCCCGAACTCCGCCGCGAAGAGCCGCTCCAGCCCGGGCCGGTCGTTCACGGCCGTGGCCGGGTACATCGTCTGCTCCAGGTCGCCGGCGCCGAAGCCGTCGTGCTCGGTGTAGCCGAGGACGACGGGCACGCGGGAGAAGTTGCCCGCGGGCAGCGCCTCCAGCAGCGACGCGGCCTTCGCCCCGTGCACCTCCCCCTCGGGGCCCCCCGCCCTCCACCTGCCGTCGATCGCCGGCTCGTAGCACCCCATGGCGGCCTCGTCGCCGCTGAGCCGGACGAGGTCGCGCAGCGGGGCCGACCGCATCGCGCGCAGCTGGCCGCGGCCTCGCGGGGCGCCGAGGCGGGCCCCCAACTCCTCGCCCCACTCCTCGGCGCTGAGGCCCAGCCACGCGTCGGAGCCCGCCGTCAGCCTCCGGACGTTGGCGAGGTCCACGCAGCTCTGCACGAAGGCCCGGTGGAACAGGTCTCCCGCGAAGGGGAAGGCCAGCAGGGCGGAGACGTACTGCGCTCCGGACGAGAGGCCCCATATCAGGCGGGGCCCCCATGGGTGGGCGCCAGGGCAGAGGGCGGGCCTGAGGGGATGGGGTGGGAGAGGGGGGGGAGGAGGGAGGGAAGAGGAGGAGGAGGGGCAGAGGGGGAGGAGGGAGCTCAGCGGGGAGTTGAGGAGGGCGGGGGGGCAATGGGGGGAGGAGGGGGGGAGGAGGAGAAGGGCGAGCTCAGGGGGGGAGGTGAGGAGGGAAGCGGGCACTGGGGAGGGAGTGGCCGAGGGGTGCGGCGGCGGAGGGGGGGGGGGCCAACTTGCGGCTGCAGCTGTGCCGCCCCCCCTCTGGGGCCCAGCCGATGGGAGCAGGGCGCGCGGAGGCGCAGGGGCCGTGGCGCGGTCTCAAGCGAGGCGGGCGAGGGTGTTCTTGGCGGCGGAGGCCAGCAACCGCTCTGGCACCCTCTCCACTCCCCTGCTCCTCCCCTGCCCTGCCCTCCTCATCTCCCTTCTCCCCGTCGCCGTCTCCTCACCTGCCGCTCGTCTGTCCCCGCCCCCCCTCCCCCTGCCCTCCCCTCCCCTCCCCCCCGCCCCGCCTCGCCTCCTTTCCTCCCTCCTTCCCCTTGTCCTTTCCACGCCCCTGTGCGGGCAGGAGGCCTGTCCGAGCAGCCGGGGGCGCCCCCACCGCCGCCTCGGCCCCCGCCGCCTCTGTGTGCCCCGGAAAGAGCCGCGGCGGCTCCCAGGCGCGCGGCCAGGTCCCGTGTTCCCGCCGAACCTCTCTGCCTCCCCGCTTCTCCATCTCTCCGTCTGTGCGTCTCTCTCCGTCCTCCGTCTCCCTTGCCCTCTGCCTCCTCCCCCCTCCTCTTTCCCATCCCCTGTGTGTGCATATATATATATATATATATATATATATATATATATATATATATATATATATATATATATATATACCTCTCTGTCTCTCTGTCTCTCGCTCTCTCTCTTTCTCTCTCGGGAGCGAGGCAGGAGGCCGCGAGGCGGAGGGGGCGCCCTTGGCCCGCGGCTCCCGGGAGCCGCCGCGGCGGCTGGTGACCCGGTCCGGGTCCCCGCCGAAGCTCGCGGCGTGCTGCTGCACCCACTCCAGGGCGGCGACCTGGGGCCGACCCCGCCCGGCCCGCCCGGCCTCCTGCCGCGCGGGCCCCGGCCCGGGGCCCCCGCGGCTCTCCTCGCGGGGGCCCCTGCCCGGGGCCTGCCCGGGGGGGCCCCCGGGGGGGGCCACGGGGCCGCGCCATGCTGGGGCGCACTCGGGGCCTCCTGGGCCTTCTCGAAGGCCTCCGCTCCCTCTCTCCCTCTCTCTCTCCTTCTGGGGCCTCTCTCTGCCTGTCTCGGACTGTCGCGGATCCCCAGACCTCCCGTGTCCTGATTTTGCAGATGCGGGTTCCCCGGAACTCTTGACCACGGGCGGGCCTTTCCATCGGATTGCTTTCTGACGGCCCCGAGGCCCGGCGAGGGCCCCCAAACAGCGAAAACAGCGACAAAACGCCTTGCTTGTGGTCGATACCCTGGGGGTCTGGATCTCCCTCTCTCTCTCTCTCTCTTTCTCTCTCTCTGTCTCTGTCTCTGTCTCTCTCTCTCTCTATGTCTCTCTCTCTCTCTCTCTCTCTCTCTCCTTCCGCGCAGCGGAAGAGGCTCAGAACTGCGCCCTCCCAGGACTGGCTGGCCTCCCAGCCGGCTCAGAGGGCCACCGAGGCCTTTGAGCGCCTCTGGCCAGGCACGGAGCGCCCGCGCATTCCCCACCGCTGCCCCCATCCGCTGTGCCGAGCGCACGCTGTGCCTCTGCCTCGGCGCCCCCTATCGGTGAACCCCAGAGCGCGTGCTGGCGCCCGCGTGTGCTTGTCCATCGAGACCGTTCAGCCTGCGACGCAAGCGGAGGTTCTTCTGACCCGGGTCAATCCAGACCCGGGTCAGCCAGGCCTTGCAGAATCCTGCAAACTCCTGCCAGACCCTGCACCCAAACCCGGGTCCATGCGAAGGATCCCGCAAGATCCTGCAGGATCCTGCGCCCACGCCCGGGTCAATGAGAGCCTGGCCCTGCAGGATCCTGCAAGATCTGGCGCTCTGACTGACCCCCGTTTGCATTGACCCCCGACACAGGCGGCGTCATGGTCCACCGGTGGGGCTGCGGGGGGCAAAAGCACACGCTGGGCCG